CTAGTCCCTTAGACTTTCACTATGTCTTGTACTACTGGAATAATGTGGGCAGGTATATCACTGTTTTCACTTTCACAAGATCATTTAAAATCATGACTAATCACTCTGCTGGGAAAGAGGGCAACGTTGATGTTGGTGTGGTTAGTGTACTACTGTTTCAGGCAAAACCTACAGCATTATCCTTCAGTGACTCTCACTTCACTTGTGTGTGGACTGGGGTTTAACATGTTTAGGTCGGCTATAACTGCCCTTTAATGAATTGATGTCAGGTAATTAGTTGAAAATTCTTCCATCTTTTTTAAATATAAATTTGGAGTTTGGCTAAGAAATATGGGCTACTGCCTTTTGCAACAATGTTACAATCAGATGCTCAACATTTTGTGATAAAAACTATTCATATGTCATGATGACTAATTATTGATTATATTAACTCATTAGCCTAGCTTAGGTTCAAGCTGCTGTCATGAGTTCAATCTTGTATGGGGGCGGTGGGGTAGCCTAGTGGTTAAAGTGTTGGCTCGTCACGTTGAAGACCCAGGTTCAGGGTACAATGTGTGAAGCCCATTTCTGGTGTCTCCTGCCGTGATATTGCTGGACTATTGCAAAAAAGCGGCGTAAAACTACACTCACTCACTCAATCTTGCATGCATCACTGACTGATATCCCAACATTGTGACTGGTAACGTGTGGCCTTATCAACAACAAATGAGTCAAATGCTTAGATATTCATGCAACTGCCATAACAAACATATCTAAACATGCTAAAACTGCATCTTTTAGTACTAACGTTTGTGGTAATTAATATTATCTGATTATACAAAACCATTCGACAAACCACAAGTAAAAAATGTAGTTAACTTGTTCAACTGAAATACAGACAGTGATGGGAATTAACCAAGAGTATCTACTGCTCACATTAGTCACATCAAGGATAGTAATAACGTAGAACAATATCTCCCATAATGTTTGGAAATACTATGAGCCCTGAGGATACCTTTAAGATTAACAAAACTGGTCCGTGCTTACGCTAATTTCCATCCTTGACAGACAATTTGACACTGTCTGTCAGTGGATAACGATGTTCAGGTCTACTTATTTCGAGTGACCCGAGTTGTGTGCCCTTACAAGTTCAAACCTGTTGGGTTTCGTAAATAAAAACAGTAAGCGAGCTTCGGATGTACACCTCTGTCGATTCAGAAGAGTCTCGATCATGTTTGTGCATACACAATGCATCGCCTGAAATCAGTCGACACTGGTAGTACAGAAATGCAGAAATGATTGAAAACATAAAGACGCCTACAACTCGCGGGGAGTGGAATTTCAGATGGAAACTAAGGTAAACTTTCTCGTTTCTAATGCCATTCCTGGTATGTCTTTTTCCACATTGTTACATTTGTTCAGTTATTGCACGTACTCACATTTAGAATCTTGTCTTTTGTTGTAAAATCCAGAAAAGTTTTTAACGTTTTCTCAGAAGTTTGCACCGAAAACACAAACAGAAATATTTTGTTTAGAAATGTTTGTCTTGCGCAGATGCGCCACAGCTCGATTCCGGTAGGGGACGCTACTCTTATTGGATCATAATCACTGCACGCCGCTAAACACGCCCGGACCCTATCAGCTGATTATGGACCGTAAACTACGACGTAATAATTTAACATGACAATAGATCTATTTAGTATGATTTTTCGTACCAAGAGAAAAATAGTGAGGTACACAAAATATAACCACCATCACCACTTACTATTTCATTTCTACGACAGACATTATCATCGTCTAGTTTCAGTATGTGCGATATGATTTGTAGATCCCAATGTACTGGACTACTGAGGTCGAAAAACAAACATGATTACCGTAAAATAATGTGCGCACCCGCAGCATACTCGCTTTAATTTCAAACAGCTGACACTCTGACATTGAATAATTGAACGTGACTTTTTCCCTTAGAGAAGGAGGAATGATATCAGCAAATTCGGATTCGCATATCAGCAAAGCAGATCATGTATGGTTAAGCTCTAATTTCACAAAAAGAATAAGGATTATGAATGTAAATTAATAATTTCTAAAAAATGCAAGTTTCAGCGACATGTTTTTATTTTCAAAAGACAACGGAAAATGGTTAAATTAGTCAATATGAAGTGATCACGGATAACCACCCACTGAAACTGAAGCATTCACCTACCTCTTTACGATATTTTGTCTTAAAGTATTATTGTTACACTGGGTAATTCACTGGCAAACAAGGATTCTGTCTGAGTGATGCATGGTAGCAAGGTTTCTCTCTCTCTCTCTCTCTCTCTCTCTCTCTCTCTCTCTCTCTCTCTCTCTCTCTCTCTCTCTCTCTCTCTCTCTCTCTCTCTCTCTCTCTCTCTCTCTCCCACTCTCTCTCTCTCCCTCTCTCTCACACACACACGGCTGCAAGGTTTCAGTCTCAGTCTTCTCTCTCTCAATCTTAACCTCTCTCTCAATCTCTCTCGCACGCCCACACGCCCGCACGCACACACACATGCCTCGCAGTATCAATGCAATTATCTTGAACACAAAGCTCAATGCCATAACCCCATTCCGCCTCACCTCTGGTATTTGACCTACCAATCTAGGTTGATTGCAAGCTATTTATATAATCTAATCTATATTCCGCGTGATACAATATACACTGTTGAGGGTCTGTTTATGAATACCATGGATGGATTAACCCTAGCCATCGAGCACTGATTCCAAACACTGCTTAAAGCCCAAAGCCGGATTTAATTCCCTGCAGCGTTTAGCACTCCGGGTTATTCTACACGAGTCCTAACTCTGGTTGTAACGCAGAAATATAATAAAATTTGACGTGGGGAAGGCAAGTGTGAAATAATAACCTTTCTTGATTTCGTGCAATTGACAAAGCTTGTATCAAGTGACGACTAAGGGCCTGTTCGATTATTACGAACCTGGTTTTGGTTTTTGAAACTGGTTTCTCCTGTTATAAACGAGTGTGTGGTTTCGGATACATGGTTTCAAAGTGAAACTAGTTTCTAGTTATATAAACGAGTGGATGGTTTCACCATCCGGTTTCAAAATGGATACCAAAAAAATGTCTCAGCTACTGTATATGTGGAACGAATTGGATGACAGCATATGTTTTCCATTTTATCAGTGAATAAACAAATAATAAGAGATGACATGCTTTTGGAGGTAAATATTTGCGTATATGTAATTATACTGTTACAAGTAATTATGTTTATCATCCAAAACTGTGTTCCACAGGAGATATCGCTTGTGTGAGATCATATGATATCTCCTAGGAGATATCGTTTTGACAGTAGATTTTGTACAATGTCCTGACAATGCTATGACGTCATCAACTTGATGACGTGACAATGCTATGACATCGCTGCACTGCAAGTCTAATGGTAGTACAGTGTTGAGAGATGTACATTTTTCATTGGAGACTAATGAAGAATGATTTTTGATGATAAATAGAATCTCACCCTCGTGTCTACTGATATAAATTATATCAACACTCGTTGATAAAGGTAAAAATATCCTCGGCAAGCCTCGGATATTTGTAACTTTATCAACTCGTGTTGATATAATTGATATCAGTAGACACTTGGGTGAGATTCTCTATATAAACAAGTTACATAAAATAGTCATGTTCAATTATAGACTGGGGTTTTAAATAATATTTTCCTAGTTCTCAGTTGATTTTTATCATTATTTTGGTTCCAAAAACAGCTGCTCTATTTTGCCACAAAGATCAGCTGAACTTGGCGCTTTCGTTTCCGCCATGTTTGTTGTGAGAGAACGCCAAACTGAAACTGCAAAACCTGCCTCGGAGACCAGGTTTCGAAGTTTCAGAATCCAGTTTTAGGTTTCGACATAATCGAGTGCATGGTTTTCCCGAAACCAAAACCGGTTTAGCATAATCGAATAGGCCCTAAGAGTGTACTCATATGGTTTTACGCCGCTTTTAGCAACATTCCAGCAATATCACGGCTGGGCACACCAGAAATGGGCTGCACACATTCTAGCCATGTGGGGAATCGAACCCGGGCTTTAACGCTTTAACCACTAGGTTACCCCGCCGCCCCTGACGACTAAGAGATATTACAACTCTGTCACAATAGGAAAGACTGGCCTTTATACATATCGCAATTCAATAAAATATATTTTCCATTGTATCGTGTATATTATGTACATTGTTAAGTACATGTATTATGATTACAATTTATCTGCAATTTATTTATCTTCCACGTGAAGTTGACTGCTTGATGAATGGATTGCAGGCTTCACCACCAGATGGATCGAGTCACTTTTAAACTATTTTATGTAACTGTCAATTAATAAATCTCGTTCCTCAACGCAAGAGATTGCTCAATATGAAACACGTAAGCATAATACATTCAACGCTTTTCCCACACCACTCGTCATTCCGAGGAGTGAGTGAGTAGTTTTGTTTTACCCAATTTATCAACCAATATTACGGCGGGGGACACCAGAAATGGGCTTCAGACATTGTACCCATGTGGGTAATCGAACCGGGTCTTCGGCGTGACGAGCAAACGCTTTAACCACTAGGCTAGCTCACCGCCTCCACTTTATGTTTATGTATGTTTAAACCAAGTGAATAAACATTCCATGCCTTAGTTCCACTTCTGCATAACTCAGCCTATATACATCTGGTGCCAGCGTTCGCTCGTCACGCCGAAGACCCGGGTTCGAATCCCCACATGGGTACAATGAGTGAAGCCCATTTCTGGTGTCCCCCGCCGTGATATAGCTGGAATATTGCTAAAAGCGGCGTAAAACCAAACTCAGTCAGTCAGTCAGTCATCTGGTGCCTGTCACAGGCCATTAGACAGCAAGTCAACTGTAATAGGATTGCAGATTTTGAATAGAAATGCAATGTGTTTGAGGTGCAAACTAGGTTAGCCTACTTATATCCCCGGTTTGGCACAGGTTGTTTTGATAGGTATACGATACTGTCAAGGTCACAGTGGGTGAGAAACATCTGAAATGTCGTCTGCTCACACGCTATTGACCTGTTTACATTTTAGTACGAGTGGGTGAGTATTGTTTTACGTTGCTTTCACAATATTTCAGCAATACTACAGCCGGGGACACCAGCCATTAGCTTCACACATTGTACCCATGTGGGGAATGAGTCTGCGGCGTGTCGACCGAATGATTTAACACCAGGCTACCCCTCCGCCCCTTCCTATTACGAAGCAAGATTGTATTAGATATAGATATTTCCTGCACTACCTGGAGTGTAATGTACGGCAGGGGCAGAACCAGGATTTGAAAAAAAAGGTGGGGAGGGGGGGTGTGTGTGTGTGTGTGGGACCCACTTCCCGCCCCTATCACAAATACCTTATGTCAAGAATTAGTATTTCATATTAATGTATTCATATTACTTTAACGGCCTATGCTCATGATGTTGATCTGGATTGTCTGTTCCAGACTCGATTATTTACAGACCTCAGCCATGTAGCTGGAATATTGCTGAGTGCGGCACTGAACAACAAACTGACTGACTGACTGACTGAGTTTAGTTTTACGCCGCTTTTAGCAATATTCCAGCAATATCACGGTGGGGGACACCAGAAATGGGCTTAACACATTGTGCCCATGTGGGGAATCGAACCCGGGTCTTCGGCGTGACGAGCCAACGCTTTAACCACTAGGCTACCCCACCGCCCCCCTGAACAACAAACAAACAAATAATATACTCATGCCAATAATGGTTGTCACACACCCCCTCCCCTCCCCACCTCACCCCACACCCCTCTCCAATTAAAAAAACTTGAAGGGGGTGACAACCATTATTGGCATGAGTATATAATAACATGTTTGTTATCATGGTAGCTCCACCCCTCCTTCTACCGAGCCTCCACTGTTTAAGTTCAAGTTTGAGCTTAAGTCCAGAGGCCCAGTTGACGTAAGACGCTGAGCGTTTCGTACTGAAACGGAAACGATTGTGGGTTCGAATCCCGGGTCACCCTTGGGTTTGACCAAAGTGGTCAGCATCTAAGATCTGCATCACTTTGGTTGTCCTCACAAGACGACGCGTCATTACATCACTGAAATAGAGTTCAAAGCGGAAGTAAGACCTCACTCACCGTCATAGTGAGTGAGTGAGTTTGGTTTTACGCCGCTTTTAGCAATATTCCAGCAATATCACGGCGGGGGACACCAGAAATGAGCTTCACACAATGTACCCATGTGGGGATTCGAACCCGGGTCTTCGGCGTGACGAGCGAACGCTTTAACCACTAGGCTACCCCACCGCCCCAGTCACCGTTATAACCAGGTCTCCGTACATTTCACAATGCCTTGAAGATACCACAATGATGCCTGTATTTTCGTGTGTAGACTATTTCTGAATGTTTGTCTGTTGTTGAACGTCTCACTCAGCAATGGTCCAGCTATGTGGCGGCGATCTGTAAATAATCGAGCCCGGACCAGACAATCCAGTGATCGATGTTATGAGCATCGATATATGCAGTCGGGATACGACGACATGTGTTAACCAAGTGAGCGAGCCTGACCACCAGAACCATTGAATCGGGGACTCTGTGCTGTGTCTGTAGCGTGCTATAAACTGACATCATTCGAAATGAGTACAAGCGGCAAACCGGTCTATAGCGCAATAACCCCGAAGCTAGTAGATTAAGTTACGATCTGTACAGAGTAGGGCTAATCACTGATCCATCCTGCGCATGTGGAAACCCATGCGAAAATGCTCATCACTACTTCTTAGAATGTTCTTTATACAATCAACATAGAAAGATCATGCTTAAAGCTATTCAAGATGTATGTGGTAGTATATCTGTGATTACATAATCTGTTATTTTAAACGGCATTGCAGATCTGACAAATCATAAAAATGAAAATATATTCAAAAATGTATATCAATATATATGCAAATCTAAACGATTCCAGTAGTCTTCTCTCTATACACCTTTTGTATTATAACATTTTCCCCTGTTATCTTTCAGTCTTTCTCTGTCTCTGTTTCTAATAATTGCTTGTGATGTAATTAGTTATTGTAAATATCTTCGGAGAGGGGTTTAAAAAGTTGAACGAACTTGTCCCCGATCCTTTTCACATTGTGAATAAAATATGTTTAAACTAAACTAACCCCGAACATGACGTAAAACCTTATTTTTTAAACACACACACACACGCACGCACGCACGCATGCACGCACACCAGCACCACTTGGATTAATGTGTTGGGGATCTTTTCTAGCCCCGATCCCCCCTATAAGACCGACAACAATGGAATGCAATGTGTTCAGCCTGTCTGTGTTTATTTGACAGGCAAACAGGATGTGTATTTACACTGTTATCTATACTTACGTCATATCAGATTATGAAAGTGACTTTGGAACACCACACGAAAACGTTCTCTAAACAAGATGTGGCCTCGTTGGGGATGACACGACAAGGTTTGGGAAAACACAGCTGTTGGAAAAAACAACATAATGAGAATTTCATTTCTTGTTTTATCGTCATGATGGATCTGGAAAAAACACAGTTGATAAGTGATAGCTATCAGCTTACGATTCGGATGTACAACGAAGAGTTTTGGCGGTAACTCTTTTGTATATAGAGGTTTTCATGGTAAGTAAATACATGTATATGATTTGACATGGGCTTTGTGGAATGTAATATGAGATTTATTGAAAACAGAATATGGAATAAATCCCAAATGTCACTCTAGCGTATTCCAATGAAAATACCTATCGAAAACCGTACCTATGGGCCTATTCGATTATGCTAAACCGGTTTTGGTTTCTGGAAAACCATGCACTCGATTATGTCGAAACCTAAAACTGGGTTCTGAAACTTTGAAACCATCTCCGAGGCAGGTTTCGCAGTTTCGGTTTCGCGTTCCCTCACAACAAACATGGCGGAAACGAAGTTCAGCTGATCTTGGTGGCAAAATAGAGCAGCAGTTTCTGTAACCAAAACAATGATAAAAAACTGAGAACAAGGAAAATATTATTTAAAACCCCAGTCTATTGAACATGACTATTTTATGTTACTTGTATACATATAATTACTTGTTACAGTATAATTACATATACGCAAATATTTACCTCCAAAAGCATCTCATCTCTTATTATTTGTTCAATCCCTGATAAAATGACAAAAATATTACCTTCGGCAATGCTGTCATCCAATTCCTTCCACATATATAGTAGCTGAGACATTTTTTTGTATTCATTTTGAAACCGGATGGTGAAACCATCCACTCGTTTATAAAACTAGAAACTAGTTTCACTTTGAAACCATGTATCCGAAACTGGACACTCGTTTATAACAAGAGAAACCAGTTTCAGAAACCAAAACCAGTTTTGCAATAATCGAACAGGCCCTATCTAATGCAAAGGGGCGTCACAGCGGCTTCAAAAGTAGGGCATATAGACTCTGGGGCCGGGGCAGTGGCAGATGATGCACTGGCTGCTTCGTATCTGTCCTGTGTGCAATCCGGTCGGCCCAGTCATCGAAGGCGCCATGCAGAGTTGTGTCCCTTGGCTTGTCGAGGCCGATTAACATGGGTTCGAATTCCGCTCTGATTATGCTGTTTGACAGCACCATAACCATGTTTGTTGATTTCTCCAAAGTGTCAAAACTGCTGACACCTTTATCATTTCGGGCGTATCTCCCTCATCAATCTATCACACATTTGTTAAAAAACTGTTGAAGCAGGGTACACGAAACTTGACCCGTGAAGATCCGGGTTAAAATTGATCTTGAATTAGAGTCTGGTTTCACTGAACCATTGTAGCACTACATCAATGCTGCTTTGTGAGACAGCATTCTGATGGCCCCAGTACCGTTTATTGATTGATTGATGCAGTATTTCAGGACCTTGAAGATCCGGGTTTAGAATTGATCTTCAGTAACCCATGATTGTCGTAAGATGCGACCAACGGGATCGGGTGGTTAGGCTCTCTGAGTACTTACAACTGAGTATGCAATAACATTGACGTTTCTCCTATTTCTGCCAAGGTACCCGATTTCTGACATTGCTAGAAGCGGAGTTAATCCAAACTCACTCTCTCTACTCCTGCATTTTATTTCAACAATGTAATGTGATTTTGTGTCTTTTTATATTACGTGGCAAGTTGCTAGAAATCTTTGTGAAGATCTCATGTTGACTTCATGATTTGATACCCGTGAAGATCTGGGTTAGAATTGGTCTTCAGCAACCCATGCTTGCCGTAAGAGGCGATAGCAGGATCTGGTGGGCAGGCTCACTGATTTGGTTGACATATGTCATTGTAATCCTGTTGCGTAGATCGATTCTCAGGATGTCAATCACTGGAGTTTCTGGCCCAGATTCGATTTTTAACAGACCGCTGACATGATGCTCGACAATTGCGGAATCCTAGTCATTCAAAGTAGGACATCTAGAGGTGTGTGTGTGTGTGTGTGTGTGTGTGTGTGTGTGTGCGTGCGTGCGCGTGTGTGTGTGTGTGTGTGTGTGTGTGCGTGCGTGAGAGAAAGTATGGTTTTACGCCCATTTAGCAATATCACGGCGGGGGACACCAGAAATGGGCTTCAGACATTGCACCCATGCGGGGAATCGAACCCGGGTCTTCGGCGTGACGAGCGAACGCTTTACCCACTAGGCTACCCCACCGCCCCCCTAGGTGTATACACATGCATGCATTAGTTTGTCGAGGACCTCTGTGCTCCGCTCACAGATTTTTTCACGACTGTGACCTGTGATGCTCAAACTTCAGTGGTGATATCACCAAGGTGAACCAGACACGCCTCGGTGTGACCGAAATACTGCTCAGCGCGGTATTATCACATACTCATTGTTTCCAGTTTGGGCGACGGGGTATCCTTGTGCGTAAGGCATTCGTATTACAAGCCGTTTTCACATTTATTAAGAAATTACTGATATGTTCAATTGTTTTAATCTGACTGAGAGAAAAGGCGAAACACCTTTCACCAAAACCGTAATCACAAATCAGTGAGTGAGTGAGTCAAGATTTAAGGTCACATCGGCAATATTTCACCCATATCATGACTAAAACTAGTTCTAAATTAATAATACATACAGATAATATATAATACCTTGTCAACGAAGGACAGTAAAATTAGTAGAGTATCACAAAATGAGTTAAAACTAGCTAGCATATATCTTTAAAAGTAGAAAATTATTTTTGGACAATACAATGTAAAAGTGGGCTATTGATCGCCAACAACTGAAGGTAGATTAATCACGAATCAGAATGTCTCTTCCAGACGGTAGGAGCGGAGGGGTAGCCTAGTGGTTAAAGCGTTCGCTCGTCACTCCGAAGACCCGGGTTCGATTCCCCTCATGGGTACAATGTGTGAAGCCCATTTCTGGTGTCCCCCGTCGTGATGCTGCTAGAATATTGCTAAAAGCGGCGTAAAACCATATTCATTCTTAGTCGTCACTTGATACAAGCTTCGTCAATTGCACGGATTCAAGAAAGGTAATTATTTTACACATGACTTCCCTACGTCAAAATTTTATTTTATTTATTTTCCAGATGGCAGATGTTCTTCAACGTATAAACCTCTGCTGTGCTCTGTGCACAAAGGTGTTCACAGATCCTGTCACACTTCAGTGTAATCACACATTCTGCAAGCTCTGTCTGCTGTTATACACCAAGGGAGAGTCTGATGCCGTGGAAGCCAAATACTTCCCATGTGCTATCTGTGGACAACGGACAAAGTGACCACCCCTGACAGTCAGGTAGAAACGTGGTTAACGCAGCTGAGGCCGAGTCTTTACATCCAGGAGCGGATGGACGAGTTCACATCAGGTGACGTGCTTCTGTATCTTTCAGTCTGTGTGAGTAAAGGACGGATACAGCTTTTTGAGAAGTGAGTGAGTGAGTTTAGTTTTACGCCGCACTCAAAACTCACTCACTCACTTCTCAAAAAGCTGTATGAGAAAGGTGGTTTGCACACTTCATTTTCACGAGAGTTTCAATGGTCATTTAATAAACTTTCATGACTAAAAGGGGTGCACACTAGTGGTGTTGCGATTAATTGAAATAATCGAAGATTGGTCGCAGTGACCAAACGACCAAGCAATCGATCACATTTTCTCATAATCGAACATAAACGATTTTGGAACAACTGTTTTAGTCTTTGAAATACTTGACAATGGAACATATCGTTGAAGTTGTCAGGGCCTGAAAACGTGTTTAATTCTTAAAAAACTCACTTCACTAACTGAAAAGCCATGACCGAATATTTCTTGAAGACTCCGGGTAGTTTATGTTCATGATATATTACTCATCACTTTAAAGTAGCAAGCTGCATCATATTATACATATCTGCAATAACAACCTGGATAGGAAAACTGAAAAATGACGCTAACCAATTGTTTTCGATGATTGGTCGTTGGTAATGAAACAATCATCAATTGTGAGATTTCAACCAATTCCCAACACTAGTGCACACCCCACTCCCCCCTCTGGATCCGCCTATTTGAGTGTTGTTTTACGTCGCAGTCAGCAACATTCAGCTATACTGAGGCGATCTGGACCAAGAAGTCCAGTTACTGATATCTTGCCTAACTTTCACTCCATCGGGTTTCGATAAAAGGCAATCAGTTGAACATCACAACCTTATCAAATAAGATGTTTCGTACGAAAATGATATTGTGTGCAAGAATCTGTTCAAACCTTCAATGGTGCTGTGGGGTAGCCTGGTGGTTAAAGCATTTGCTCGTCACGCCTAAGACTCGGGTTCGATTCCCCACATGGGTACAATGCGTAAATCCTATTCCTGGTATCCCCCGCCGTGATATTGCTGTAATATTGCTAATAGCGACGTGAATCTCACTCACTCGCTCACTCACACGTCTTGAAAACCATACTGACTGACTGACTGACTGACTGAGTTTGGTTTTACGCCGCTTTTAGCAATATTCCAGCAACATCACGGTGGGGACACCAGAAATGGGCTTCACACATTGTACCCATGTGGGGATTCGAACCCGGGTCTTCGGCGTGACGAGCCAACGCTTTAACCACTAGGCTACCCCACCGCCCCCTTGAATACCATAAGCTGCGTTGTGAGGAATGCACCAGCTTCTCTTAAACCACTTGGAGTATTCTCCTTAAGGCTATCAGGCAGCGGAAGGTGTTGCATTCCATCTCAGCCAGCCGGCCCATGATGTCAGTCTCAGGATTGTCTTGCACAGACGAGATTGCGGCGTTAAAATAAACACACAAACAAGCAGCAAACCATTTAGTGAATTGATGATAACATCTAGGCTGAAGACTGTTCGATATTAGATACAGCCTCGATAGGATCTCGATCATTGAGGACATACACACAGGGAATGAGATATTGGTTGGCACACCTGCTAAGCTAACAGGTGAAAACACGTGAAAACCATCACTACTTTAAATACCACGTTTAAGTCAACAGATTTGTCACTGCCTATTAAAGGTGTAAGCTATGTGTACATTTTTCTGTACATTTAACAAAAAGAAACATTTATTCGTTTTGTCAGGTTCAACTTTCCAGATGACAGACAATCATCCCTGCGGAAATAGTTTCTGTGTGCTGTGCACAAAAGTCATCACTGATCCTACCACACTTCCGTGTAGTCACTCGTTCTGTAAGCCCTGCCTGCTGAAGTACACCGCATCACTGCCTGAAACAGTAGAACCTCCGCACACATCATGTCCTATATGTGGACAAGTGAAGAACGTGACTTTCCCAGACAGACCAATGGAAGAGTGGGTCAGCCAGATGAAGTCAAGCCTTTCGATAAAGGAACTGGAGGGCGACTGTCCATCAGGTGATTTGCTTTAATATCACTGAGTTCAAGTAAAAGTGAGTAAATGTTGCTTTCAGCCGCATCAGCAATTTTGCAGCTGTTCGCGGCTATCAGGGAAAAGAACAATTGGAATAAGCTTTGTGTAGGTTGTGAAACATTTACTAAGTGACCACATTGAGTAAAATTCCAACAATATCACGGCAGGGGATTACAGAAATTGCCTTCACACATTGTGCTCATGTGGCTAATCAAATCCGGGCCTCTGCGTGACGAGCGAACGCGTTAACCACTGGGCTTAACACACACACACACGCACGCACGCGCGCGCGCACACAAAACACATGACATCGGAATATGTTAAAACTATATCAACGGCGCACAGGAACAGTAGATCCCTTCGGTCGTCACTTACGACAGCACTCGTGATACGGATATACTGTAACACAAGAACTCTGTATCTCTGTACATATTAAACAAATACTTATTCGACTTTCAGGTTCTTTTGGAAATATATCAGAAGATGAAGAGTTGCAAGCCTCAGACCTCCCTTCAGAGAGCTATGATAGAAGTAATGGGCAAAACAACGCATCCCCGATTTCACAAGCTGCTGTTGTACAAAACATCCTTCAGGGCAACATAGACTTGTCTGTTTCAACATCAGACCCAGCTCATGCTCTAATGTGTAGAAAACACAGAAACAATCAGGTCAAACGTTACTGCAAAGATAAACTAACATGCGTATCTCAACATATATTAAATAAGATGAAGACTACCCAGGATAATATTGCAATGGCGAAGGAACATATCCGCAACATAACCAATAACGCCGAGAAGGTCAAAGAGCAAATCCAACGCACCATGAAGTTTTCCGTCAAAAGGATGGTCCAAGATGTGCATTCATTTTCTGAGGAGCAAATAAAAGATTTATACGCTTACATTCGGTCTGAGGAGATGAGACTGAGCCAGTACGGTCAGCAGTACAAGTACATCAAACATGCTGTGACGGCTTACTCTCTTGTGGAAATACACGCCATCTACGAATCCCTGAGCACAGTGTCGGAAGAAGACACAGAATCAAACATGGACATGGGCGACCAATCAATCCCAGAGAAGATTATCTTCACGCAGAGAGCGAACGAAAGCGGCGACTGTGCTTACGAGATTGCAATTGTCCATGATGTGAGCGACCGGAAGTCGTCTGCTGTCCTCCACCACACCATTAACTGTCACGCAGAGAATGACAAGTATTGCCCTGATTTGATTGACGTCACAGTCGTCAGTTTGGGAGGTGAACCAAATAAGATTTTAATCATAGCAGATTTCACCAACAGAAACCTCAAATCCTATTATACATCAAAGGGGAATCTTCATAAAAGATGTCTGATGCTTTCAGAGAGACCATGGCAAATAGCAACGGTTGAGAGAAATCTTATAGCAGTCAGAGTTCCAGATAGTAAGGAAATAGTAACTGTGCAGCTCACGCCGGACCCCGTCTTGCTTTCAACCATCAGGACAAAGAGGGAGTACTTCGCATTAGCGTCTCCAGGTCCCTTTAAGCTTCTGGCTGGAACATTTAAATCCTCCAACTCTGTTGACCTCCTGGACATGGAGGGGAACGTACTGAAATCCATCAACACAGGCTCAATACTCAGCCCAGATTATATCCAAATTACTGACCAGGGGAACATTCTCGTTGGCCAGGGAGATGTGAATTCATTTGTCTCGGTGACCAGTGATGGAGAAGTCCGGTATTGTTACTCCCCGACCGGAGGAAGAACCTTAAGATGTCCTCGAGGTTTCACAACATCCAGCACAGGAGATGTGCTACTTGTCGACCGGGATTATCAGAAGGTGATTCAACTGACTAAGTCAGGGCGGTTTGTCAGAGATGTGCTCACAGAAGGTCTGGAACAACCGCGAGGCCTCTGTCTGGACGATGACGGCCTGATGTATGTTACTGTCAGGCCATGTGTTAATGTATACACATTTGAAGATTTGAGTGTTGAAAGAGGGCAAGGAGAAAGAAAACACAATGTAGTTTACAGCCAACGCTCTACAGAAGTGTAGCTCGATGACATGTCGATCACACGTTTTTGAAAATAACTGTTAAATATAGCAAAACTTCTGCATGAGGTCGCCTTCTTTAACGGTGAGCAGAATCCACCTAATTCCAACAGATCATGCCAAAACACAAAGCTAGAAGTTCCAAGAGGCAACCTACAAACGCTAAAGAAGCTGAATTCTTAATAACGTAATCCTGAGGCGAATTTTGCATAAGTGAATCTATGATACGCCGCCGTCTACTGAACTTGAAACGCAATGGTGACTTTGGTGGAGCAGCAGAAGCTTTACATGTGGCTTAGTTTTTGAGATACCGAAACCAGCATAACTGCGTGCACCACATGGAACTCTCACAGGCGGATGACAAGGACACGCTAATGACTAACTCACATGAGTCAGAATATTTACCGATCGACGAATTCAAGGCCAAACAGAACTGCACATTTGTGAGAAAATTGACAGTATTCGTAGCACCCTAAGGGAAGTTGTAACATATGTGTCAGCGGTCGAACACAAACAAGACATCACAAGCTGTCAGTTCTTAAATTTGAAGTGCAATCAATAAAAGATCAAGTGCTAATATTTTAGATGTATTCTCGTAAACAGAATCCATTGTTCTATAGTCTTAAGAATTCCAATAACGAAGATTATGAAGAGATCGTCAAAGCGTTCATAAGAAATAGAACTAGGAATTGATTCAAGGGGCAGAATTTTTGTTTGGCAGAATTTGTTTCAGTTCGGCAAAATATATGTCTAAATATGTCTCTAAAATATTGTCTTTCTTGTTGTTTTCGAGTTGGTATTCAGTTAACTCTAGCTACCTGATTGAAACTTGTTTTCAATCACCTCATGAATGAATAAGAATATACTCCAAACCATCGTATTCCTACAAGTTGACATCCATAAATCGCAACTTTAACTTTACGTGCTTGTGAGGCCAAGTGAAGTTATCTCACCCACGGAATTGGTTATTGGTTCATTTAGTCGGACATCAAATATGGATTTAGAGTGAGTGAGTGAGTTATTATTTAACGTCACATCGGCAATATTTCAGCCATATCGTGACGAGAACAGTTTATAATTATATTATAGATCAATAAAGTAGGACATTAAAAACCTGTTGACGAAGAACAGTAAAACTACTAGTGTATCACAGATATCCATTTAAAACTAGCAATTAAATCTAAAATATTGGAACTATAAATGACAATACAATATAAAAACAGGCTATAGATTGCCAACAACTGAAGGTAGATCACCACACTAGGGACCATGGGGACTTACAGTACATTTGCTTCCTGCATGGGATATGGATTTAGATATACGTTATGTTTAGTAACAGTTGGTGGGTAGCTGAGGCTATAGATGCCTTGAAATGTGAACTATTCTTTACTGCCGGCTAGGTATATTCCGGCTATGTCTACTTTAGCATAAAACGAATAGTATATTTAATCTTGTTATATGCTACATTCACTGCGTGATTGCATTCACAGCGCACAGTTACGATATGACGATTGTAGTGACTTTCAATCATATATTGCATTTGCATCTGTCAATGTCTGCATATCTCAGACATTTTTACATCCTTTGTCTGCATATCACAGACATTTAATAATTTGTTTATGATGAAATCACAACATGAGAAACTTGAGGAATAATGTTTTAAGCCATATCATCTTGTACATGTGTGGAAATAGTCGTAATCATTGAGATGTACTGTTTTTAGGTGATTTATCCTATAAAGTAAATAAATTAGCAAAACAAGCGTATCTGACAAGTTTTACAGTCCAGGCTAGGATTCAAGTTTAATATACCTTTTTAACAAGGATATCATGATGAATATTATAATCACTCATTACGCTTGAAACTCTGTGTTTTCTAATGTATGATCAACCTAGCTATGTACAACAAGAAAGAAAACTTGCTACTGATTTCCATAACGTTTTCTTCCCTATTTTGAATTTCTTGATTATTATGATACTGTCATTATACTGGATGGAAGTCAAGGTATATTTTTGTTATGAATGTCTTGCTGATTGCAAGCTTGATTATTCTTTGTTTGCGTGAGTGTAGGACAGGGAGATCAACAAACCTATGTATTACATAGGCTATCAAATGCCTCGTGTGTTATTCCTAGAGTGTATGTTATACGTTACAAGATACGTATTTTGTTCAAGAAAAAACAGGGGTGGAAATAACTTTAAAATTGCTAGTGTACTCCGGTACAGTGGCACATGTAAAGTCACTTGCCCTGATAATTTTTCCACTATACCAGCTGTTTTCTTGTTGATTTTTTACATAAAGAACATAATTAACATTGGAAAGCCAACAGGACACCGGTACAGTGTGATATACAAATTTGCTTGCCCGACAGAAAAAAACACTGGACTCGGGCGTCGGGCAATGGGTTATTTCCACCCCTGAAAAACTAAGTACTGAGTCTGAATGGGGATACCTGTACAACTGAAATCTGGAGTAATATGCTGCGACTATAGTTAATTGTAGTATATCGACTTTCACAATCGAAACAGTATAAATCATCATTTACACAGTTTTTAAACGAATTCTCTGATTTTCTTGAGTGTGTTGCTCTAGAACCCGAAAATTTAATATTGATTTCAATCACTGTTTCTAGTCAGGTCAGGACACACGTTCGATCTTAGCATCATGAAGACGGACTTACCTCTTTTGTTGAAGTGCATATCAGGACAAGCAAATATCAGATGAGGTCGAATCTGGTGTCATGTTTCCACATCCAAAACCACATCGGCAAGTAGTAAATTTCAGGAAACCGAAAACATTGATTTAAGCTCGTTCGTTCATGACATATAATCTACACATTAATGTGCATCTATGTCGAAAATGGAAAATATTGACCAGATACATTGTCCTCTAGATGTGTAGGCTTCTCTTAAAAGTAAAAATGTTGTACCACGAAAATGGCTTAACTGAATCTTTTCAGCTTGCTTATACAAAACCCCGACACAACACTTGTCAGAGTTCATAATGGCATCCTGATATCTATTTATCGGAAACAAATAACATTGCTTTTCCTTCTTGATCTGTCCTCGGCATGATGTGACGCTCAAAAGACTGGATGCCAGAGTTAGAACCATTGGTACTGTTCTCTCATTAGTGAGTGAGTGAGTTTAGTTTTACGCCGCACTCAGCAATATTCCAGCTATATGGCGGCGGTCTGGAAATAATCGAGTCTGGACCAGACAATCCAGTGATCAACAGCATGAGCATCGATCTGCGCAATTGGGAACCGATGACATGTGTCAACCAAGTCAGCGAGCCTGACCACCCGATCCCGTTAGTCGCCTCTTACGACAAGCATAGTCGCCTTTTGTTGCAAGCGTGGGTTGCTGAAGACCAATTCTACCCCGGATCTTCACGGGCCTCTCTCAGGCATTAAGTTCCATCTCTTGGAACGAACTCAGTACATTAGTTTGGGGTCTGAGAATTCAGTTTAAAAAAGTCACTCAGTGTAAAAATTGGTGGCCGTGAGACTGTATCATCTGCCTATACCACAAGTTTAGTAGTAACATGGAAATTGTAACTTCGTAATTTACCCTGCCAGAGATAAAAAATAATTACGAAAATATTAACAACCCACATACTAGGGACCAGGTGTTAGAATTGATGGGTGAATTAAATCATATAGATATTTGCATGATCACAATCCTGACTTGAGGGTATACGTGGAGGAAAAACATCTTCAAGCAAGACTATAATAATTGTTTTTGTATCTAAAAGTTTGTATTGTCTCATTACTAATTCGAATATTACACCAGGTTACAGGTCTGATTATCCTATGGTTACGTTAGATATAAATCTAACCCGTCAGGATAAGAAAAGGATAATTCATTGCTTAGGAAACCAAACACATTAGTGAAGTATAGATTATATCTGATGCAATGCAGAGCCAGTCTGTAGCAATGTCTTAGACTCAGTATCCCCAATCTTAGTCAATTTTACAATCAGTGATCAGCTTTTCTTTTAAACTTTAGTTATGGGGATCAAAAGGAAAACCTACTCATTATCTAAATCTAAAGAGCGTAGAAATATTTATTGAATGAGATATATTGTTAAGAAAGCAACATAACAGACTCCAGAGAGTCTGATGTAAAGATATAAACTCTTCAGAGCCTCTTTAAGCTGTCATTTTAAGAAAGAAATACTCCCATCTTTAAAGAAGCCTAAAATAATAAACCCGCCTGCTACAGAAGTGAGTGAGTGAGTGAGTTACAATTTAAAGTCACATCGGCATTATTTCAGCCATAACGTGACTAAAACAAGTTTTAATTTCCCCATAAATACATGTAAATTATTAAAAGCTGTCAACGAAGGACAGTAACACAAACTAGAATATCACAGTATCAAGAAATATAACTAGCATCTCTCTCTAAAATTCCATTTTAAGTGAAGACAATACAGTATAAATAACGGGGTATAGATCGCCAACAACTGATGGTAGATCACCATACTAGGGACGATGGATGATACAGAAGTACATGACTTGCCTAGAATGCTTTTATAAGTTGTCTTTGAGAAAGCTTTTGACTCAAATTCCTTGTAAATTATTAACAAAATCTTCCCAACATCAATTATTACCATACACCTGTAGGATTGGGTTTCAGCCGTTTATAATGATATTCACTCCAATTTCATCATATATAGAAACATGTCACCTGATTTCTGCTCTTCGTGAGGGAGTGAGTATGGTTTTACGCCGCTTTTAGCAATATTCCAGCAATATCACGGCAAGGGACACCAGAAATGGGCTTCACACATTGTACCCATGTGGGGAATCGAACCCGGGTTTTCGGCGTGACGAGCGAATGCTTTAACCACTAGGCTACCTCAACGCCCCATTTCTGCTCTGAAATATTGTAGACAAGGTGATAATCTGTTTTGCCGTGTGCTGAAAAAAAATAGAAATTTAGTTAGGAACAATGCGGATATAACTGGAATCACCACTGATAAGAAAATCCCCTCCTTTTCCCAATATGCAGACAACACTGAATTCAGGTTAGAAGGAAGTGAAAAATCATTTCAAGCACATAATCTGTTTGCTGATATTTCAGTTTTAAGGATTAATTATGATGAGTCACAGGTTATTTAGATCAGCAGTGGAAGAACATGCCTGGTCTAAAATTGGAGTGGATTACAGACATTTGCAGAATTAAATTCTCTACATATGGGTGTGAGATGGTTCATTGGAACTTCAAAGTTAATTGTTTTGAAATTCAAGAGATAATAAATCAGCAGATAAGATAAACAGAATATTTTTTTCCCGGTTTATTTGGAATAATAAAAGAGACTGGATCAAACGAGAAACTTTATGCAGGTCAGTTTCTCAAGGAACGCTTGGTATGGTTGATGTATTTTCTCATGCAAAGTCACTAAAAGTGAATTGGATGGAAAAGCTATTTACAAATGAAAATTATAAACCAAAAGTCACTGTGTTCTTTAATCTGATTGGTTGAAAAACACGATCAAATGGTATTCGATTCCCGGAAATTCGCTGCGTATTAATACATACAAACATAGCTCACACCATTGTATTGTTACGTCGTCAGCTGTGATGACGTCATTCAAATTATATTGTGACGTGAAGTCCGAATGACGTCACAAATGAGCAGTTCAGATGCTACCATGGGAGACAGCCGAAACGGCCGGCTGATGACATTTCACTGCTGTACCCGTACTCGATGTCAATGAGTACAGACACAAAAACGTGTGTGGACCTTTTGGTTTTACTTTTGAGTTTACAATTTCGATAAACATCATGTGTTGGCCAATTTCCGGGTGTTATTGAGTATTTGAAGCACGGGTATATTTTCATTTGAAACCTCCGGCTGACGCCGTCGGTTTGTGATATCCTTTATAACACAATTGCCAACAGGATTAGCGCTAAAGTTTGGAAAGACGAATTGTCGCAATACATATGGTTATGTTTCAAAACAAATAGAAGCAACATCAGGCGAAAGGTTTTCTGGCAGAAAGCCAAGGTTTTAACGCCAACATCGGTATTGGTAAACAAACTTCTTTAACAAAAGCTGGGTTGGAAAAGGTCTTACTCAAATATTATATATTCCTATTGATGGTAAGACCTTCATATCCTTGACAGAATTTAAAGACTGTTATAATGAGAAGGTGAATTTCTTGGAATATCTTGGTATGATAAGTTCTGTAAAGACATTTCTGAAAGTAATCCTGTCGCCCCTAGTGAAAAAATATATATTACACGAACTTGCGAGTGTAAAAAGGTTTCCAAAAGATATGATCATACATTGTTTACTTCCAAAAGCAACATCAAATCACTGCTTAAAAGGTAGAATGACACTGTTATAACTGAAAAGTTTAATTGGCCAAATATTAACATAAAACATTTCAAGACTGCTCAAGATAAAAAATTACGATGGTTCGAAAAAAAAAATGTTTCATAGAATAATATAAATAAACTCTGTCAAAAAAGAAACGCAACCCCTGTATTTTAGAGATTTTGATCTGAAGTTTTAGGACGACACGGCATTTTTATTATTGAAGACAGAAGTCTGAAATTTGGCAGAATAATAACCCAGATGGGCATGTTTAAAATTGTCATTTCAAAAGTCATCTCACAGACACCAGTTTGTCACCAGGGGGGGCGTCTTCCTCAGTATCTCGTATGAGCACCACGCGCTGCAATCACTGCACGGCATCTCCTTGGACAAGAACGGATAAGACGCCGGATTCTTTCCTGGGGAATGGCTCTCCACTCCTCCTGCAGTGCAACGGCGAGCTGTTGCAGCGTCTGTGGCGGCGGCTGACGTTGACGTACGCGTCGATCCAGAGTATCCCACAGGTGTTCAATAGGGTTGAGGTCTGGTGATTTAGAGGGTCATGGCAAGACATTGACGTTGGAATTCTGCAGAAAGTTCATTGTTGCACGTGCAGTATGAGGCCGGGCGTTGTCCCGTTGAAAAATCTGTGTCTGTTGGTCAATAATCGGGAGAAGGTGAAGCTCTAACACGTGGTTGATGTAACGTTGGGCTGTCAGGTTCCCTGGAACGATCACCAAGTCTGATTTCTGGTTGTATGAGATGGTTCCCCAAACCATGACGCTTTCTCCGCCAAATCTGTCCACCTGTCGGACGCAGATGGGCGCAAAACGTTTATGACGTCTCCTATACAGACGCTGTCTTCCGTCGTGACGTTGCAAAAGAAAACGTGATTCATCAGAAAACCAGATTCGCCTCCAGTTTTGTAAAGTCCGTATCCTTACGTTGTTGCACCACCTGAGTCGTTGGCGTCGATGTAGGGGCGTAGTACAGGTCCAACAACTGGTCTCCAGGCACGTAAACCCGCTTCTTTCAGACGGTTCCTAATCGTTTGAGCTGACACTCTCCTCAAACCTGGTATTTGTGTGGCAGTCACGGTTGGTAGGGCATGCCGATTACGCAGGTGATGGACCCGGATGTACCGATCTTGAAGGGGGGTCGTGATTCTTGGCCTTCCACTTCTCGGGCGATCGTTGGTCAAATTGAAGTTGTTGTAGCGGCTCCAAAGTCGGGATATCGTTGTTTTGTGAACATTTAGGTGCCGTGCAACAGTTCCAAAACTTTCTCCGGCTTGAACACGACCAATGGCGATATTTTCGGTCGGCAGCACTCAATCGTGGCATTTTTAACACAGCTTTTCGGCGACAAATGAATGAATATAATACGGAAGCACATGGGCTTTTATACACCCCTACATTAACTGCCATTTTCATGATTTGCATGTGTTTTTTTTGTGCGAAGTCACCATGAGGGTCATTTCATGCGTTGTGACGGAATAAGCAATAAAATACACTTATGGGTACAAATGCAGTTGTTTGGATGGTAATCTTCATTAATTACGTGTATCATTTCAATACATTCGAATAAAATTTAGTTTGGAAGCAATAACTTCATTCAAACGAATTTTTCATATCTGAGGACAGGGGTTGCGTTTCTTTTTTGACAGAGCAGGAAAGTATCTTTACTTTCGTTTGGGAGGGTCATATTTGCAACATGACCTAGAGGATAGATGTACCAATTCTGTTTGGATTAAGGGAGAAATGTTTTATTATAAATTATTTTAATGTTATCTAAGTTTTAAAATTTATAAATGTATCAATCAGAATGAACTAAATATACATACAATGCATACTGAACTGACTTTTCAAAACCAAATGCAAAATTTTGTTCTTACAAGGTGGTGTTTTCATTATGATTGTACCGTTTTGTTGACATGTTTTTCAATCCAAATTGACAGTTATTACCAACATAGGCGTGTTTTCTGATGAAAAAGCATATCGACCAAACGCACCTAAAAAGGCAGACGTGGTAAAAGGTTTTGTATGACATTCGTGCTAATGAAAATGCACGTGCATATTGTGACAACCCTACCAATGAAAGTGAGTCCCAAACTCGCCTGAAATCATTCCTGTTTTGACACAATCGCCATGCCACGACTTACGAGAGATCAGAGAAACAAGCCTTTGGACGATTGCAAGTTGGCCAGACTGCAGGGAGGGCAGCTAATCATTTTAACGTATAGCTGGAAAATCGCTAAGTGCGGCGTAAAACTAAACTCACTCCCTCACTCATTGTGCACATAATTGAGCTTCATGTTGATGATAAAAGGAATTGCTTGCCAGAATTATTGCTTCAAGATGACATTTAATAAAATATATTCAGAGCTCACGGTTTTAATAAAACAATATAATGGTTTTGCGGATGTAGATTAAAAATGGGAAGTACCAAACACCCCAGAATGTCAAATGGTTGGTGCCTTACGAATATAGCGTATCGTATGAATTAATAAACGATTTCTTCCTTGGCAACACTCGGCTCTCTCAGATCGCTACCGGGGAACGTTATGGCATGGTCATATACATCATGATGTTTTGGCTAAAGGCTGTATATACGTTATTAGTACCATCTGTCATAATTCTGACATATGGAACAAAGGTCCTTACTCAGTGTTCTAACAACAGATACCTCGACGACACATACCTCGCTAAAGATGTCTACGACATCAGCATGAGCCCCTCTCTGATGGACTGCGTTGCAAGATGTTACGCTCACTCCAAGTGTCAGTCAGTTGGATTTGAACCAGAAACCCTGAAGTGTCATCGTCACACGCAGAACAGTACCCTCGCCCCTAATGACCTCGGCGTTCTCCCCGGATGGGTACATAGTGACAAGGACGCTTGGCCAGAGGTGAGTAAACATGGAAGCGTAATTGGTTCAATTTCCAGAGTGTAGACTACCGCGAGTACCCCTCTCAGACAGAATCATTGTTTGCCAATTTATTACCCATTGTAGTGGCCAAGACCTTGCCAACGCGATTTTGCCTAAGTTCCAAGTTTGACCATCTTGTCACATGCACCTTAATTGTAACACAGAAGTCTGGTAACACTGTCATCTTTTGGTTATGGTTCATGGTTGTTATAGTAGATGTCACTGTCTGAGGAACAAACTAACACTAAATAGTGATAGTCTTCTATAGCTAACTTCCGAAGGGCGTCCCAAAAGTAGTCGGCTTAACTATATTATCGATGTCCAATGTTAGAAAAGCTTCCATTTTATTTTGAAGGAATCATTAGCAAAGCCATATCCAAATTTTCACATATGTGGCTAATGTGGTTAACGAGATATTAGTCATTTGAGATATCGAAACCAGCATAACTGCGTGCACCACATGGAACTCTCACAGGCGGATGACAAGGACAAGCTAATGACTAGCTCACATGAGTCAGAATATTTACCGATCGACGAATTCAAGGCCAAACAGAACTGCACATTTGTGAGAAAATTGACAGTATTCGTAGCGTCCTAAGGGAAGTTGTAACATATGTGTCAGCGGTCGAACACAAACAAGACATCACAAGCTGTCAGTTCTTAAATTTGAAGTGCAATCAATAAAAGATCAAGTGCTAATATTTTAGATGTATTCTCGTAAACAGAATCCATTGTTCTATAGTCTTAAGAATTCCAATAACGAAGATTATGAAGAGATCGTCAAAGCGTTCATAAGAAATAGAACTAGGAATTGATTCAAGGGGCATGGTTTTTCTTTGTGGCAGAATTTGTTTCAGTTCGGCAAAATATATGTCTAAATAAATCTCTAAATATTATCTAAATATATCTATAAATATTATCTTTCTTCTTGTTTTTGAGTTGGTATTCAGTTACCTCTAGCTACCTGATTGAAACTTGTTTTCAATCACCTCATGAATGACATCCATAAATCGCACCTTTAACTTTACGTGCTTGTGAGGCAAAGTGAAGTTATCTCGCCCACGGAATTGGTTATTGGTTCGTTTAGTTGGACATCAAATATGGATTTAGATATACGTTATGTTTAGTAACAGTTTGTGGGTAGCCGAGGCAATAGATGCCTTGAAATGTAATTTATTCTTTACTGCCGGCTAGGTACATGCCGGACATGTCTACTTTAGCATACAACGTTTAGTATATTTAATCTTGTTATATACTACATTCACTGCGTGATTGCATTCACAGCGCACAGTTACGATATGACGATTGTAGTGACTTTCAATCATATATTGCATTTGCATCTGTCATTGTCTGCATATCTCAGACATTTTAACATCCTTTGTCTGCATATCACAGACATTTAATAATTTGTTTATGATGAAACCTCAACATGAGAAACTTGATGAATAATGTTTTAAACCATATCACCTTGTACATGTGTGGAAATAGTCGTAATCATTGAGATGTACTGTTTTTAGGTGATTTATCCTATAAAGTAAATAAATTAACAAAACAAGCGTATCTGACAAGTTTTACAGTCCAGGCTAGGGTTCAAGGGTAATTTAAACTTTTTTAACAAGGATATCATGATGAATATTTTAATCATTCATTACGCTTGAAACTTTGGGTTTTCTAATGTATGATCAACGTAGCTATGTACAACAAGAAAGAAAACTTGCTACTGATTTTCATAACGTTTTCTTCCCTATTTTGAATTTCTTGATTATTATGATACTGTCATTATACTGGATGGAAGTCAAGGTATATTTTTGTTATGAATGTCTTGCTGATTGCAAGCTTGGTTATTCTTTGTTTGCGTGAGTGTAGGACAGGGAGATCAACAAACCTATGTATGTAGGCTATCAGATGCCTCATGCGTTATTCCTAGAGTGTATGTTATCTAAGAGGCATTCTCTGTACCTGTTACAAGATACGTATTTTGTTCAAGAAAAAACAGGGGTGAAATAACTTTAAAATTGCTAGTGTACTCCGGTACAGTGGCACATGTAAAATCACTTGCCCTGATAATTTTTCCACTATACCAGCTGTGTTCTTGATTTTTTACATAAAGAACATAATTAACATAGGAAAGTAAACTGGACACCGGTACAGTGTGATATACAAATTTGCTTGCCCGACAGACAAAAACACTGGACTCGGGCGTCGGGCAATGGGTTATTTCCACCCCTGAAAAACTAAGTACTGAGTCTGAATGGGGATACCTGTACAACTGAAATCTGGAGTAATATGCTGCGACTATAGTTCATTGTAGTATATCGACTTTCACAATCGAAACAGTATAAATCCTCATTTACTGAGTTTTTAAACGAGTTCTCTGATTTTCTTGAGTGTGTTGCTCTAGAACCCGAAAATTTAATATTGATTTCAATCACTGGTTCTACTCAGGTCAGGACACACGTTCGATCTTAGCATCATAAAAGATGGACTTACCTCTTTTGTTTAAGTGCATATCAAGACAAGCAAATATCAGATGAGGTCGAGTCTGGTGTCATGTTTCCACATCCAAAACCACATCGGCAAGTAGTAACTTTCAGGAAACCGAAAACATTGATTTAAGCTCGTTCGTTCATGACATATAATCTACACATTAATGTGCATCTATGTCGAAAATGGAAAATATTGACCAGATACATTGTCCTCTAGATGTGTAGGCTTCTCTTAAAAGTAAAATTGTTCTACCACGAAAATGGCTTAACTGAATCTTTTCAGCTTGCTTATACAAAACCCCGGCACAACACTTGTCAGAGTTCATAATGGCATCCTGAAATCTATTGATCGGAAACAAATAACATTGCTTTTCCTTCTTGATCTGTCCTCGGCATTTGTTTCGATCGACCATGATGTGACGCTCAAAAGACTGGAGGCCAGAGTTGGAACCACTGGTACTGTTCTCTCATGCATTACTGACTGACTGACTGAGTTTGGTTTTACGCCGCTTTTAGCAATATTCCAGCAACATCACGGCGGGGGACACCAGAAATGGGCTTCACACATTGTACCCATGTGGGGATTCGAACCCGGGTCTTCGGCGTGACGAGCCAACGCTTTAACCACTAGGCTACCCCACCGCCCCTCTCCTGCATTAAGTTCCATCTCTTGGAACGAACTCAGTACATAAGTTTGGGGTCTGAGAATTCAGTTTAAAAAAAGTCACTCAGTGTAAAAATTGGTGGCCGTGAGACTGTATCATCTGCCTATACCACAAGTTTAGTAGTTACATGGAAATTGTAACTTAGTAATTGACCCTGTCAGAGATAAAAAAATAATTGCGAAAATATTAACAACCCACATACGAGGGATCAGGTGTTAGAATTGACTGGTGAATTAAATCAAATAGATAGTAACATGATCACAACCCTGACTTGAGGGTATACGTGGAGTAGAAACATCTCCTTCAAGCAAGACTAGAATAATTGTTTTTGTATCTAAAAATTTGTATTGTCTCATTAATAATTGGAATATTACACCAGGCTACAGGTCTGATTATCCTATGGTTACGTTAGATATAAATCTAACCCGTCAGGATAAGAAAAGGATAATTCATTGCTTAGGAAACCAAACACATTAGTGAAGTATAGATTATATCTGATGCAATGCAGAGCCAGTCTATAGCAATGTCTTAGACTCAGTATCCCCAATCTTAGTCAATTTTACAATCAGTGATCAGCTTTTCTTTTAAACTTTAGTTATGGGGATCAAAAGGAAAACCTACTCATTATCTAAATCTAAAGAGCGTAGAATTATTTATTGAATGAGATATATTGTTAAGAAAGCAACATAACAGACTCCAGAGAGTCTGATGTTAAAGATATAAACTCCTCAGAGTCTCTTTAAGCTGTCATTTTGAGAAAGAAATACTCCCATCTTTAAAGAAGCCTAAAATAATAAACCCGCCTGCTACAGAAGTGAGTGAGTGAGTGAGTTACAATTTAAAGTCACATCGGCATTATTTCAGCCATAACGTGACTAAAACAAGTTATAATTTCCCAATAAATACATGTAAATTATTAAAAGCTGTCAACGAAGGACAGTAAAACCAACCAGAATATCACAGTATCAAGACAAATAACTAGCATCTCTCTCTGAAGAGAATACAGTATAAATAATGGGGTATAGATCGCCAACAACTGAAGGTAGATCACCATACTAGGGACAATGGATGATACATAAGTACATGACTTGCCTTGAATGCTTTTGTAAGTTTTCTTTGAGAAAGCTTTTGACTCAAAGTCCTTGTAAATTATTAACAAAATATTTCCAACATCAATTATTACCATACACCTGTAGGAATGGGTTTCAGCCGTTTATAATGATATTCACTCCAATTTCATCATATATAGAAACATGTCACCTCATTTCTGCTCTTCGTGAGTGAGTGAGTATGGTTTTACGCCGCTTTTAGCAATATTCCAGCAATATCACGGCAAGGGACACCAGAAATGGGCTTCACACATTGTACCCATGTGGGGAATCGAACCCGGTCTTCGGCGTGACGAGTGAATGCTTTAACCACTAGGCTACCTCAACGCCCCATTTCTGCTCTGAAATATTGGTGATAATCTGTTTTGCCGTGTGCTGAAAAAAAATAGAACAATTCGGACATAACTGGAATAACCACTGATCAGAAAATCGCCTCCTTTTCCCAATATGCAGACAACACTGAATTCAGGTTAGAAGGAAGTGAAAAATCATTTCAAGCACATAATCTGTTTGCTGATATTTCAGTTTTAAGGATTAATTATGATGAGTCACAGGTTATTTAGAACAGCAGTGGAAGAACATGCCTGGTCTAAAATTGGAGTGGATTACAGAAATTTGCAGAATTACGTTCTCTACATGTGGGTGTGAGATGGTTAACTGGAACTTCGAAGTTAATTGTTTTGAAATTCAAGAGATAATAAATCAGCAGATGGATAAACAGAATATTTTTTTTCCGGTTTATTTGGAATAATAAAAGAGACTGGATCAAACAAGAAACTTTATGCAGGTCAGTTTCTCAAGGAACGCTTGGTATGGTTGATGTATTTTCTCATGCAAAGTCACTAAAAGTGAATTGGATGGAAAAGCTATTTACAAATGAAAATTATAAACCAAAAGTCACTGTGTTCTTTAATCTGATTGGTTGAAAAACATGATCAAATGGTATTCGATTCCCGGAAATTCGCTGCGTATTAATACATACAAACATAGCTCACACCATTGTATTGTTACGTCGTCAGCTGTGATGACGTCATTCAAATTATATTGTGACGTGAAGTCCGAATGACGTCACAAATGAGCAGTTCCAGATGCTACCATGGGAGACAGCCGAAACGGCCGGCTGATGACATTTCACTGCTGTACCCGTACTCGATGTCAATGAGTACAGACACAAAAACGTGTGTGGACCTTTTGGTTTACTTTTGAGTTTACAATTTCGATAAACATCATGTGTTGGCCAATTTCCGGGTGTTATTGAGTATTTGAAGCACGGGAATATTTCATTTGAAACCTCCGGCTGACGCCGTCGGTTTGTGATATCCTTTATAACACAATTGCCAACAGGATTAGCGCTAAAGTTTGGAAAGACGAATTGTCGCAATACATATGGTTATGTTTCAAAACAAATAGAAGCAACTTCAGGCGAAAGGTTTTCTGGCAGAAAGCCAAGGTTTTAACGCCAACATCGGTATTGGTAAACAAACTTCTTTAACAAAAGCTGGGTTGGAAAAGGTCTTACTCAAATATTATTTATTCCTATTGATGGTAAGACCTTCATATCCTTGACAGAATTTAAAGACTGTTATAATGAGAAGGTGAATTTCTTGGAATATCTTGGTATGATAAGTTCTGTAAAGACATTTCTGAAAGTAATCCTGTCGCCCCTAGTGAAAAAATATATATTACACGAACTTGCGAGTGTAAAAAGGTTTCCAAAAGATATGATCATACATTGTTTACTTCCAAAAGCAACATCAAATCACTGCTTAAAAGGTAGAATGACACTGTTATAACTGAAAAGTTTAATTGGCCAAATATTTACACAACACTTCAAGACTGCTCAAGATAAAAAATTACGATGGTTCGATAAAAGACTGTTTCATAGAAAAATATAAATATATACTTAGTTCGTTGTGCAGTTTCTGTAGCAATAACAGGAAAGTATCTTTACTTTCGTTTGGGAGGGTCATATTTGCAACATGACCTAGAGGATAGATGTACCAATTCTGTTTGGATTAAGGGAGAAAATGTTTTATTATATTTTATTTTAATGTCATCAAAGTTTTAAAATTTATAAATGTAAACGGAAAAAATGAAACTATCAATAAAGATTTTTCAGAATGAACTAAATATACATACAATGCATACTGAACTGACTTTTCAAAACCAAATGCAAAACTTTGTTCTTACAAGGTGGTGTTTTCATTATGATTGTACCGTTTTGTTGACATGTTTTTCAATCCAAATTGACAGTTATTACCAACATAAGCGTGTTTTCTGATGAAAAAGCATATCGACCAAACGCACCTCAAAAGGCAGACGTGGTGAAAGGTTCTGTATGACATTCGTGCTAATGAAAATGCACGTGCATATTGTGACAACCCTACCAATGAACGCCAGTCCCAAACTCGCCTGAAATCATTCTTGGTTTGACACAATCGCCATGCCACGACTTACGAGAGATCAGAGGAACCAAGCCTTGGGACGATTGCAAGTTGGCCAGACTGCACAGAGGGCAGCTAATCATTTTAACGTATAGCTGTAATATCGCTTAGTGCGGCGTAAAACTAAACTCACTCTCTCACTCATTGTGCACAGAGTGCACGTGCCACGCACGATAGGTGACATTAAATTTCATACAGAGTTATCAGCTACATGCTAATTTACGGTTATTTTTATAACCTTTCAGATAACTTATATTTTTTGCAATGTAATGCACAATAATTGAGCTTCATGTTGATGATAAAATGAATTGCTTGCCAGAATTATTGTTTCAAGATGACATATAATAAAAGATATTCAAAGATCACGGTTTTAATAAAACAATATATGGTTTTGCGGAATTAGATTAAAAAATGGGAAGTACCAAACATCCGCCCCCAATCCACCCCAGAATGTCAAATGGTTGGTGCCTTACGAATATAGCGTATCGTATGAATTAATAAACGATTTCTTCCTTGGCAACACTCGGCTCTCTCAGATCGCTACCGGGGAACGTCAAGGCATGGTCATATACATCATGATGTTTTGGCTAAAGGCTGTATATACGTTATTAGTACCATCTGTCATAATTCTGACATATGGAACAAAGGTCCTTACTCAGTGTTCTAACAACAGATACCTCGACGACATATACCTCGCGAACGATGTCTACGACATCAGCATGACACCCTCTCTGATGGACTGCGTTGCAAGATGTTACGCTCACTCCAAGTGTCAGTCAGTTGGATTTGAACCAGAAACCCTGAAGTGTCATCGTCACACGCAAAACAGTACCCTCGCCCCTAATGACCTCGTCGTTTTCCCCGGCTGGGTACATAGTGACAAGGACGCTTGGCCAGAGGTGAGTAAACATGGAAGCGTAATTGGTTCAATTTCCAGAGTGTAGACTACCGCGAGTACCCCACTCAGACAGAATCATTGTTTGCCAATTTATTACCTATTGTAGTACCAAGACCTTGCCAACGCGATTTTGCCTAAGTTCCAAGTTTTACCATTTTGTCACATGCACCTTAATTGTAACACAGAAGTCTGGTAACACTGTCATCTTTTGGTTATGGTTTTTGGTTCTTATAGTAGATGTCACTGTCTGAGGAACAAACTAACACTAAATAGTGATAGTCTTCTATAGCTAACTTCCGAGGGGCCTCCCAAAAGTAGTCGGCCTAACTATATTCTCGATGTCCAATGTTAGAAAAGCTTCCATTTTATTTTGAAGGAATCATTAGCAAAGCAATATCCAAATTTTCACATATGTGGCTAATGTGGTTAACGACATATTAGTCATCACAACACATTGGGGTATAATGTTTCTTTAGAAATTGCAGAAAGTGAAAACGATCTGTCATTTTGTACCTCTTGGATAATGGTATCCCCACATATAAAATATGTTCAGTATAGTATTGGATGACTTCCCGTCATAATCAACATTCAAAGATTTGGATTGCTTGATTTATATTTAGACGGGGCTGTTTTGAAAGGACACCCCAACTTTAATCTTTCAAAAACATTGTGTCCAGATATTCAAGCTGGCATTGTTTACATTCAATTTGAGTGCTGACACTTGTGTGACCATTCAGTATTAGTTTGAAGCCTTGGCATCATGTATTAATAAGTGAAAACATTAGAATAAATTATGTCCTTATGATTACGTCATCTCTTTCAGTAAACATCATGGGGGACGGTGTGTGTGTGTGTCACTTTCAGTAGTTTCAAATTGCATTTTATGCACTTTAATATCTACGTTTGATTATAGAGGATTTCTTAAACACATAAAATGTTTCTGGCATAGTGTGTTAAAAAAATCTGAAGTTTGTGATGCATTTATTGCAGATTTTGCGTTTTTAGGGGGTACCAAGTTAAAGTCAAACAAAATGGGGATCGTGAGGCTGGAACATGGCAAAAGCAATTTGCTTGAGGTTGAGAGATAATATGTAGAAAAATAAAACATAACAACAGCTGCATTTGTATAATTTTCTCGGTGAGGCCGACTACGTTTGGGACGCTCCTCCTCCATGTCTGACACATTGGTACAAATCAATACCAAACCATTTCCTCTGTCTATTGTCAGTCTTAGCAATCCGGCCCTCAGCTAAATAGGAATATTTTCATACTTCTTATCCATGTTAAAATATACATTTCGTTCATGTTTCTGTAACAATTTCCAGTTTCCGTAGATTTTATTGTTTCTGTCACTAAACCGGATATTGCATCAGAGACCAATAACAACAATAAAAGCTCTAATACAACAGGGAAGAATTGAACATTATACTTCCAATCATTTTGTAGATGACCGGTCAATAAATGAAAATGGCAAAGGAGAGAATATACAACTCTGCTTTACAGATGCATAAATGCTATTTATGGCTATTAGCGCTTTGCCAATCCATGAAGATCGGGTTAGAATCGTACCGATCTACATAACTGGCATATGATGACATGCGTCAACCAAGTCAGCGAAACTGACCACCCGATCCCGTTAGTGGCCTCTTACGACAAGCATGGGTTGCTGAAGATCAGATCTAACCGGTTCTTCACGGGTATCTGGATTAGTTTCCTCGTCGTTAGAGAGTCATTCTCCTGTCCTACAACGTCACAAATTTCCAACATGTGAGAACGGTTTCTCGTCACAAATGGTGAAGAGTGAGTGAGTTGAGATTTTAAGTCACATCGGTATTTCAGCCCTATCTTGGCAAGATGTTATAAACAGGCTATAGATCGCCAACAACTGGTGGTAGGTCTCCATACCAGGGACCAGGGACACTTACAGTACATTTGCTTCCTCCGAGCTGGATTTACACCACCCCTTCAGCTGTTAGCAATTTAGGGAAATCTAACCATACATTAAATGGACACATATTCCACGATTGAAAAGGTGGCAAGTTTAAATTTACTTGGAACGCTTTGGGATATCCTCTCAGGAGGACAATAATTTACCCCCTTTTGAGAATGCGGCTACTTTATATAATCAGTGTAGAATTATTAGAGTGGTGTCACAGATTTGTTGAGTGCTGCCTTAGCAGCAAAATCGGCCATTGTGTGTTACCCGAAATTCCAACGTGGCTAGGTAACCATCAAACGACGATGTCGTGAAGAAGATATACGTAGTGTGTGAGAAAGATAGCACACAAGGGCATATCTGAGGAAGATGTGTTCGGGGGAGTGAGAGTTGACATTTCTCATCTGTCGCGAGCCGGGTGGTAAGACAAAGAGGCCGATCTTGCCCTATAGGTTTCCTTGGCAACAGTCTTCTATTGCATATCACATGTACAGTCCCTCCGCATCTCATCTACCAATTGTATATTTCCAGGGCTTCTCGATTTCATATTATTTCAAAGCTTTTCTTCTGCTCGGTTAAGAGACTGATGCCTGACCTAACCAAAGAATTTTCAAAAACTGTGGAATTTTCACAAACTTGCGTGGGTGGGCAAAGAGGCCGATCTTGCCCTATAGGTTTCCTTGGCAACAGTCTTCTATTGCATATCACATGTACAGTCCCTCCGCATCTCATCTACCAATTGTATATTTCCAGGGCTTCTCGATTTCATATTATTTCAAAGCTTTTCTTCTGCTCGGTTAAGAGACTGATGCCTGACCTTACCAAAGAATTTTCAAAAACTGTGGAATTTTCACCAACTTGCGTTTCATCCCTGCACAGGGGCCAAGTTAGTCTCCTCTGTATCGTTCAGGTTTAGTATACGTAGTGCGTTCGCAATGCATGAGACCCTATTGGTAAGCGTTTAATAAGGTCTGAGACAAATTCATCCACTTTAATCACTGTTTCGTGGCCTAAATGTCAGTTTCGAAGCACTATTAGATCAACGTCCTCATATTATGTCTTAATTAGTGAATTTGCATAGTTTTAAATATTCAAAAGCGTGTATAACCAACATAGAATTGACCCAAGTTGATTTCACAATTTGGTCAAAATGTTGTGAAAATGATTGAGTGTTATCACATAATTATGTAGTCCACTTATATTGTATAGTCTCTATAGTACAGAATACATTCTGAGGTCAGTTTAGGCAGTATTAAGTGACTGATTTAATAATCGTCAGTTATGGAAGACAGAAAATTTAGAAGCACCCAAGAAAACAACCCGTCTGAATGATAGTGGCTCATTATACATGTATGGTTATCAGGAATGTTCACCTGGCAGTTCACTAATAGATCACTTGGCACGTGGAATTTCATAATGCGCTCAAAACATTCTTTAGTAGGTTGGCCTGGGAGTATCACTGTCTATGACACTGTTCATAGAACAACGTCATGAATTGTTGCTAGAACAACTAACATACAAATGATATTGAGTGAGTGATTGCGTTAAGATTTTTACTCACATCGGCAATATTTCAGCCATTATAATCGGCATTTAAATTAGAAGAAAAAAACATAATAACGAAGGACAGTAAAATAACTAGATTATCACAGATAGAGAATTAAAACTAGCATGTAACTGTAAAATTAAACATATTTTATGAACAATACAATAAATACAAACGGGCTGGAGATCTCAAGCAACTGAAGTACCAGCACCAGCCATGGGGACTTACAGCACCTTTGCTACCTGCATGGACCCTAGCTGGATTTACACCATTCCATAAGCCACTGGTGATTGAGACAATATAGCCATAAATCAAAATCACCTATATACTTCGATTAAAAATTGTGGTAAGAGGAAATAAACTGTGAATGTTTCGGGACTTACGTATCCTCCCTGGAGGATAATGACATTGAGTGAGTGAGTTAACATTTAACGTCATCTCGGCAATATTTCAGCCATTTCAATGACATTGAGAGTCATTGCAATGTCTATTCATCCCCTATGTATACATCTGCTGAATACTCCACTCTATGAATCTCTATAACATGGCAAGAGAGATAATCTGAAAATCAACTCCTTTTATTCTTGTGGTTTAATATTAATAAATTTCGACTTATATTTGAAATGATGTTCCATATCTCTTGAACTAAATGTTTCACACTCCCAACTATGTCGTTGTTTAAAAGTGTTAGGGTCTCAGATATTATTACATACTTATGAGCATTAATGAAGCGCGTCACCTTCTTCTTTGATAAGTACTAAAACACTACCAGTTGTTGTGTATGATTTGAAAACCGAAACCTTATTAAAATGTAACATATGTTACTTTGATTAAAACCTAACCATATCTGATATATCCAATTCTCATAATCAGACTTCTGTTTAGTGAGTGAGTTTAGTTTTACGCCGCCTTTAGCAATATTTCAGCAATATGACTGCAGGGAACACCAGAAATGTACTTCACACATTGTACCCATGTGGGGACTCGAACCCTGGTCTTCGGTGTGACGAGTGAACACTTTAACCACTAGGCTGCCCCACCGCCCCAACAGGTATTTCTTGAAATCTGAGAGGAGTGAGTGAGTTTAGTTTTACGCCGAACTCAGCAATATTCCAGCTGGATGGCGTCGGTCTGTAAATAATCGAGTCTAGACCAGGCAATGCAGTGAGCATGAGCATCGATCTACGCAACCGGGATACGATGACATGTGTCAACCAAGTCAGCGATCACCCAATCCCGTTAGTCGCCTCTTACGACAAGCATGGGTTACTGAAGACCAATTCTAAACCAGATCTCCACGGGTAAATCTGAGAGGGGTACACAAAGAATATCAACATTCCCGGACGGTATGGTCCCAATGATTATGCCACGAATCGGAGTGAGTGAGTGAGTGAGTGAGTGAGTGAGTTATTATTTAACGTCACATCGGCAATATTTCAGCCATATCGTGACGAGAACATTTGATATTGAGAAAGAATATATATATATAGACATTATAAAAACCTGCCGACAAAGGACAGTAAAGCAACTAGAGTATCACAGATATATATGTAAAACTAGTAGTTGAATCTAAAACATAGTAACTATAGGGGACAACACAATAAAAAAATGGGCTATAGATCGCCAACAACTGAAGGTAGATCACCAGACTAGGAGCCATGGGGACTTACATTACTTTTGCTACCTGCATGGACCCTAGTTGGATTTACACCATCCCTTCAGCCATTGGCGACAGAAGAGACATCGAGCCATAAATTAAAAACACACTTATTCTACGATTAAAAAGCAGGTACACTTAGATTGACTAAATGTTCCACGAATCGGATTGTCTCACAGTTTTCAAATAATGACTGGTGTAATTGTATCAACCACTACTGACTGCAATACCAGTACCTGGTCTAGGCTCCCCTGGCGCAGATACCATCTGGAGTTCATATCGAGGCTCTTTGCGGGCCTGTTTTCCTATTGCAAATAGGCGATACCGGCTCGAAAATTGTGAGGTCTAACTCTGTCATCCATAAATATAGGACCCCTAAAAAGGGGATGGTTGTCACCATGTGGTACGACGGCGGTATCCAGTACTTCCTGTTCATAACGTTGTCCCAGGTACTGTAATGAGATCCCACGTGCAGCCATACGAAACGCTACCCCACACCATCACCGAGCCAATACCAAAGGATTTAGAAGCATGGAACATCTAGTGATATTCCTCGTTACAATGGCCGTCGGTAGAGACTTTCATCAGACCAATGAATACCAAGCCAGGTTTTTAAGTTGAGGTTTTCTTGGATACCTGCAGACGTTCTTCCTGTCTCTGTGAGGAAGTCTGATTGGACGACGTATCCCCAGACTAGCACACGCCAGCCTCCCTCTGATGATACTAGTGGAGGGTCGGACTTACTGGTGAAGTTTTTCGGCATGGGTAATAGGATTGTGTCTTGCCAGACAAATTAGGGCTCAGCTATCATGGTCATTGGTCTCCCTTGGTCTTCCAGAGCCTTTATTCACCGGTGGCCACGTACGTCCTCACAAGTCGACTATTAACCCAGTCTAAGTAAACTTAGGCTCAGTATTATTCGTTACACTGCATATACTGAGTCTAACAAACCCTAGTAGAAGGTCTCATCAGCTAACCATTTCAATTGACCAATCAGAACACAGCTTACCAAGTTGCGAAAGTTGTAATTCGCACATACCTTTTGAACTTTTACATCGAAAAAGTTTGTACCCGAACGATTCCGAATGCTATTTTCCCTACGATCGCTTCCGAGTGATGCACATGGAGCACGCCACAACAGTGAGTAAACAGTCGGTGAAAAAAGCATTTTTGTCAATGTTAAATATTAGCTAATGGTAACCATGTCATCAGAAAGCCCTAAGCGTATATACTGCAGATCAAGTATCTGTGTTTAATGCAGATTTACGTTTGTTGAGAGATAGTGTCAGTGACCGGGGAATTTTGTAAGTCCCGCCGATCCCTAAACATCAGCCGTTGCCTGATTGGTAAAATCCGTTCGGATTTGATTGGACGGTCATAGGTCGCTCAGATGTTAGCTGACGCGAACTTCTACTAGGTTTTGTTAGACTTAGTATACAGCAGTGTAACAAATAATACTGAGCCTAAGTTTACTTAGACTGACTATTAACCGTGTTGTTAATTTTAAAGTTAGCACCGATGGTCTGAACTTTAGGCCACGGAGCCGGATAAAGCTACGAGAGCCCAATGCGCAAACGTGAGTTTGCGATTGCTTGGTCACCGACCCTCAGACAGGCGTGGCTCCGGGCTGTACACCGAAGCCGCCATTTGCGTTCAAGATGTCGATGTTCAATGTGTCCTGCAATTCACATTAAGTAACGCAGCTGGCTGCGCTCTTCATCGACGCACGAGCCGAGTTACCCCCCTGCATCATGCATGCCAGTAACTTCTCATTGTATAGTTGATGAAAGTCTACGTCTCGCCATGTCTGGAAAAGTTAATTTCTTAAATCTTTTAAATCAGTTAAGTACAGTGTGGAGCAAATACTGCAGTTATGAAAATTGTCCCCCATTGAGCTTGGCGCCTGAACATTTGACCCATTGATGTTGAGACAGTGTGTGAAGGTGTTCATGTGCATTTAAGTGTGCTGGGGTATGATCGCCTTTGAACAAAAATTTACAAATTGTCCATGGATACACGTGGTGCTAAATTAATGCTCACGGGTAGATATACCCTAATTGCTCTTGTAGTTTCGGCTGCCCAAGCCGCACCTGGTTTGCTCTTTTTTCAGGCTGTAAATATCAGCTGACCCGTGAAGATTCGGGTTAAAATTGTTTTTCAGCAACCCATGCTTGCCGTAAGAGGTGACTAACGGGATCGGGTGGTCGGGCTCGCTGACCTGGTTGACGCGTGATGCATGGGAAGTAAAACATGACAGTAAGGGGGAAAACTATTGCATATTCTACACACTTGCTAAGAAATACAAGAGAAAAACATAAATGAAATGTGAGATATCGGAATAAGACGAGCTCCAGAGTAAGATATCTGTCCATATTTACTTCGTTTTGAGGCAGAAATATTAGGGATAATGATAGGAATATTTCTTAGAGGACTATTGGAGTATATGCAGAAGACACCGAACTATTTCCAGACGGCTCAGCAACGTCTCTAAATGACGCAATAACAACGCTAACTCGGAGGTCACGTGGTCTATGGCGGAGTGAGATTGACGGTGCAAACGGCTCACCGAAAATCTCATGAAATGAAGTCTCTAACCCCCGGTTCAACGCCTAAAAAAGACAAATGAGAAACGTAAGCAGTCCGAGACCCGGGGGACCAGCCTGGAGACGACAAACACGCTAAAAGGGACTGTTTTCCCTGCACGAAGATCGCTTGGAGACGGACGATGAAACACAT